AACAACAACAACAACAACAACAACAACAACAACAACAACAACAACAACAACAACAACAACAACAACGACAAAACAATTGCAACAACAACGATAGCAATAGCAAGAGCAGCAAAACAATTACAATAACGACAACGACAGTAAAACAGGGATAAAAAACAATTACAACAACGATAACGATAACAACAGCAAGAACAATAAGAAAATCAAATATTTTAGGATCGATCTGGGAGAATAACATTTAACAATAAATAAGAAATTTAGAAAAGAAAAAAAAATAGGAAGAACGAACCTATTATAGCATTGTATGCAAAAGAAATTATTATCTTTAACAAAACATGACGAATATTGTTCCAATAATATTGAACATTGCGAACATTTTAAGCAATTAATATGCCAAAAACGTGAATTAACAGTTAGTAATGTTCGATCAAAGATAAATTCCGAGCATGATGAGCATATTTCCACTTCGAACTGAAATTAAACAAAATTAAATTCTTTTTAAGGAAAATTAATAAAATTTTGAAAATTTAAATTTTAGTTTACATAATCGTTTTTCAGTGAACAAAATTTAAAAAGATTGAATTTTTTTCTTTTTTTTGATCGATAATTTTGTAATAATTTCGAAATAACATATTTTATAGTATTTAAAGTTTAGTCTACTTTTTTTTTCTCTTCTAATTTTCTTCTTATTTATTGTTAAAAGGAAAAAGACAAATTGCATATTTATCTTGTTTAAATTTTATTTTTCTTGTACTGTATGATTTATAATAATAAATAAGATATTTGAAAAAAAAGAAATTGTGTGAAAATTATACGTAGGTTAATTAATTAATTGGTTGGGAAAGTAATTTTGAAATTATTGAAAAATATTAGATATTGTCGATCGTTTATAATGCTATAGAAAATTGTACTTACTTACATCATTCGAGAATTTTGATTTTTACTTTATTTGGCACTAAAATTTGTTTATTCATGCATCAATCAATACTGGTCGTTTAATTTTATCCAAAAGAAAAACTTATTACTATACTATAAATGAAAAAATATTATAGCTCCTTCAACGTTTTTTTAACTAATTAACTTATGCATAATTTTCATACAATCAATTATAGTTATACATTGAACAACAGATTACTACACAGTAATCACAGCAATTTTTGCAATCTTTAAGCAATTTATTAAATTTCGTCACCTTTAAACAATTACAATTTATTAAATTTTACAATCTTTAGTGAATTCCAAACAATTCAATTTATTAGATTTTGCAATCTTTAAGCAATTCCAATTTTCTCAACAAATCATACAATTTAATTAATTTTCGTGCGAAAAGGTAATTGGTAAAATTTTAGACTTCAGTAGCTTATTATTTCAATTCTATTCCCTAAATTTAACCATATCTTATTTTCTTTGCTAATTGAAATTTTAAAAGTTATCATATTATTTGTATAAGCTAATCCAAATTTAAAATAAAATACAAATGAATAAATAAATCCATGATTGAAATTGTTAACCGAATAAAAAAATTTCATAATTGTTCAACTAATCATAGCCCAATAATTAAGCAAATAAAATAGGATAATAAAACTTAGGATGGATTTCTCTTCTCTTTTTTTTTTTCTTTTTCTTTTTTTTGATTGCTATATTTAAGCCTTATTGTATAGATAAATGAAAAGATTACGACAAAGAAAGAGAAGGAAAAATGAAGAAGAAAAGGCAAAAAAGAAAAAAAAAAAGTTAGTGAAAAATAAGGCACCTTTGAAATTCGATGTGAAAAATTTGGTTCATTAGCGCTTGTTATTGCACAGTTGCAGTTGCTTTTAACATTTGCGCCATCATTCCCACTATTAATACTATTGTTACTATTACTGCACCTATTAGCGGTGATAATCATTGTTGTATTATTTTGATCTGCTTGTAATGATGGTGTTGTTAATGTTCCAACAATTGCGCAAATATTATTTTCCGTATTTTGTATTGATATTGTTTGTCCAGATTGTTGTTGTTGTTGATGATGATGATGATTATTGTTGACGTTTAAATCATTTTTTGTTTCGTTGCCTGTTTCAGCTATTACAGGAATTGTATGTGATGTTCTTGTAGCAGGTAAATCATGTGATAAATCAGTTGTTGTTGAATGATTAAGTAATCCGGTTAAAGTACCACCATAACCCGGAAGTTCATTTATATTAAGTGTTGTTCGACTTAGCGGAACAAATGCACTATTCTTGATTAATGATGATGATGCTGATGATGATGATAATGATGATGATGCTGATGATGATGATAATGATGATGATGATGATGATGATGATGATGATGATGATGATGATGTTGCTGATGTTGATGTTGATGCACCAAAATTACTGTTTTCCGAAATTCCTGATACGTTATTCGTATCACAAAGTACCGGTAGAAGATCATTAGCAGTAGCAATAGTAGTAGTGGTAGTATTATAATTAATCGATTTCTTATATAGTCGATGATGAATTTCCATTCTTGTAATAATCGTAATATATAAGAATAATTTTATTGATTTGTCAATACTTATAGTCAATACTTAGTCAAATACTTTAGCAAATAATTTCTAATAATAGCAATAACAACAGCAACGGCTGATAATGACGACAAATAATGATGATGATAATAATGAATAGTAGTAATAATAGTGATAATCAATGTTGTTTCGATAGATGTAAATTTTTCCTTTTTTGTCACAATTCTGTTACCATTAATGAGGTCCAATAAAAAAAAGCGGAAGTTAAGGGTAAAGATGAAGAAGAAGAATAATATGAAAAGGTTAAATTTGAAGGAAATTATTATTTACGACAGTTTTCGAATAATTTCCACAATTGATAAATTAATAAGGAAAAGCTGATAATAAAAATGAAATGAATTGAATACAGGAAAGGAATAGGAATGGAATAAATTGAAATGATTAAATGACATATATTTGTGCTATCAAATGATAAAAGTTGGCATCAAATTTTGAAAATAGAATCTTTTTCTTCCTCTCATCAATGATGATGATGATGGTAATAATAATAATAATAATAACAATAATAATACTGATGATGATGATGTTGATGTTGATGATGATGATAAAATGGCGATAACGAATGATGATGAAAAATGAAGCAGTTTTAGCCTTAAGGCTATGTAAACGTTTTATTAGTGGTAAATTGAAGTGAGCCTTAACGAAGCATATTCTTCAGGCTTTGATAAATCAAGCCTTGCCATATAAGCAAGCAAAAAGCCTATTTGGCTAAACGATAATGCTCTTTATCCATCTATCCATCCATTCATTTGTAACATCAGCAAAATCCTCCCTTATCCTCCTCTTTCTCCTTTTCCTCCTCATCCTTTTTTTCTTCCTCTTCTTTTCTTCTTCCTCTTCCTCCTCCTTCTTCTCTTTCTCCTCCTCTTTCGTTTCTTTTCCTTTCTCTTTTTTTTCCCCATTTCCTTTCTCAGTTAAAATCACCGTAATCTATCACTTAACATTTTCAAATAATATATTTTCATCAATGATGATTTTCTTTTTATCTAAAAATGTATGCATAGATATATATATGTAAGCAGTATTATTCATTCATTTCATTTTATTTTATTCCCTAAAGAATAATCATTAAATCTCCCGGAAGTCTTCGGAAATCTCCCGGAAATTTTCGGAAATCTCCCATCTCCCACATTCAACAACAACAACAATAACAACGATACGACCCTGCTCTATAGCACATCCCCCTATTTTGTTCTATTTAAACAACTACCGTATCCTTTTCCATTTCTTCTCTTCCCGAACCTTTTCGAATTATTTTATCATCCTTATTATTCTCCTCAGCAAATCATTTCTTATCATTTGCAAATCATTTGTTATCATTTTTATTATCATTTTGATTATCAGTTTTGACTATCAATTCGTTTCGTTCGCATCTTTTATCTTTTTACTGCAATTTTCACTTCCTCCTTTTTTTGACTTTTAACATTTTAAAAAAAGAGAAAGAGAAAAAAAACATCAAATTTTAAATTAAAATTGTCACTAACTTAGACTGTCATTAATAGTAATTATTATCACTGTGAATATGTCAAAAATTTAAAATTACAAATTTCATTTATCATAGTATCTATTTATTCGACAATTCATTTATACTGATAACAATAAGTTTAAATTTATTCATTATCAAACACTTATTGAAATTCTCATCTATGTTCCAAATTAATTAGCTAACTTTCTTTATTATGTATTTAATTAATTGATCCCTTCGGACGTTATCTCAATCTTTCCGTTTTTCCTTTTTTTCTTTTCGTTCTTCTTCGTCATTTTCTTCAAATTGAAAGTCTTTTCATTGAAAATTCTACATTATGATAAATTTATCAGTTCATTAACCTATCACAACAGTAAAAACATAAAAAAAAGAAGAATGAAAATGAATGATTCAACAGGGTAAGGAAAGTAAAACGAAGTGTCAAAGTTCAGCAGTAATTAATCAACAAAAATGATTGCTTATTTCAACTCTACCATTGACTATCTTAACTTCTCTAATAACAATCTTATAATAAGTTAATAATAACGTTTTAATGAGTTAATAATACAATAAATTAATAATAAATATATATAACAGTTAAAGTATGAGAAAATACAAGTACCAGTACATTCTCTAAAATATTACCACAATAAGTTAGTAGTAACAACTATAGTAATGTAATAAGTTAACAATAGATACTAAAATCAGTAATATTCCTTACAATAAGTTAATAGGAACTAGTACAATAAGTTTATAAACGCCAGTATAATAAATTAATAAACACCACTATAACAGATATGTAATAGCCATTACAATAAAACAACGGGACCATTACAATAAGTTAATAAGAACTAGTACAATAAGGCAAATGAACCATTACAGTAAATACCATGAAGAACTACAATAAGTCAGTGGCATTGGTAATGTAAAAATTTACAGGAACATTTGATATTTTTTAATAAAAACTAATTACTGCATATTCTTTGAATTATTTCACATTTACAGGTTTAATAAAATTACGATTTTTTTCATTTCAGAAATAATTTTACATAATAAAAAAACTGACATATTGTAAAACATTTAAAAGTTATATCAATTTGTGCAGTGGAAAGAAAAAATGCATTGATTAGGTTACTAGTAAGCTAATAATTAGAGTTATTGTTTTACACTAATAGCATTATCAATTAATAATGTCGTCGTTATCAATTGTGTCACTGTTATTGTCTAGGATGATTTGCTATCTTTATTACTTTATCCCTTAGAATTTTTTGTTAAGTTGATTACTAACGTTGTTGGAGAAAATAATATAATTAAGCAAGTAAATTAAGAAAACAATAAGTGAAGTATTAATTTAAAAATTCTTTTGTAATTTTCTTTCTAACCAAATTTATCATATCAATAACATTATTATATCAATCATTTCTTCTTATCAATACTATTAGTGATTTTATTTTATTTTTTAACTTCTTTTAAAAGAAGTACTGTTAGTAATGAAATTTAATTTCGAAATACAGTATAGATACAGTATAGATGATAGTATTAACAATTATTTGAAATAATTAAACGCTAATGCTATTATGTTGCCGTAATTAATCAGTGCAAGGGCTGCAAATTTTTTCAACAATCCTAAATTTCAGAATTTCGTAATGAAACAAATGGATGGGTAATAATCGATGAAAAATGTAAAACATCATTGAATTAATATTCAACTATTAAGCAGCAATGATGAACATTCATGAATTATACTAATTGGTATGACATTTAGAGATGGTTTAATTACTTGTTAAAAAAAAAATTTAGCAAAAGATTTTAAAAAATATTGGAAAAATTTTTTCTAAAAAATTAATATTTCCGAACATAGATCTGTGTTTATTAATAATAATAATAATAATAATAATAATAATAATAATAATAATAATAATAATAATAATAATAATAATAATAATAATAATAATAATAATAATAAATAATAATAAT